ATATATATATAGGCAGGTAGTGCATAATTTTATTATACACACACACACACATTTATATATATATATATATATATGTATATATGTATATATGTATGTATGTGTGTATGTATGTATATATATTTATATATAAATATATATGTATGTATGTATGTATATATACATATATATATATTTATATATATACATACATATGTATATATATATAATTATATATATATATAATTATATATATATATATATAGATATATATGTATGTATATATGTAAATATATATATAAATATAAATATATGTATGTATATATAGATTATATTTTATTATTTATACATAAATATATATATAGCAATAGCAAGGGATAAGTGAAATAGAATAATACATTCAAAAAAGACGGATCTCAGGTCTATAAATATATATTTTATATATATATATATGTATATATATGTATATATATATATATATATATGTATATATATATATATGTATTTATATATCTATATATATCTATAAATAAATACATAAAGATAAACATAAACCTATTTATATATATATATATATATATATATGTAAGTATATGTAATATATATTTATATATATATATATATATATGTAAGTATATGTAATATATATTTATATATATACATATATTACATATACATAAATATATACTTATGCGCATATATATATATATATATATATGTGTGCGTGTGTGTATGTATGGATGTATGTATATACTTATGTGCTTATATATATATACATATATATATATATGTGTGTGTGAGTGTATGTATGTATGGATGTATTTATGTATATATATATATTTATATCTTACCTATCCCATGAGATGTTGTTCTCGAATAGACAGTTCTGTAGATCAGTCGTCTTGCCCGAGTACGTCCCCGCTGCATGATCGTGCGCTGTATTGTTTCTAAAAATCGTGTTGTTCACACTGTACCCGATTTCGAGAAGGTAATGACAATCAAATTAGGGTGCAATATCAGATAATTGAAAGTGTTTCTGCTATTTGAGTTCGTATCGTGCAAAGCTATCAATATCGTGAAAAACAAAAGTAACTAAATCACTCCAAACCTTGTAGATTATTCATAACTCCCCGCTAAATAAACACTTGTATTTCAAGTCCATATATATGAGTTTTCAAAACGAAAAAAAACCCGTACCGAACTTCGTCGGTGGTATACGCACACCCAGCCATAATTTCCGCATGGTTCCTGACAAAAAGGCAGTTGTCCATCACTACTGCCCCCTGCGCGTACATAGAGCCTCCCCGATTCTTCGACTCGTTTTCCGTAAACGTGGAGTTGATAACTGTGGTGCCCGAAACTGTATAAATCACTCCCCCGTGCTCACCGGCCAGATTGCCCGTACTGTTGCAGCGGTTGAGGAAGACGCCCTCGTGTGTGTAAAACACACCGCCACGGTCAACGGCCGCGTTATTGTCAAATGTACAATCATATGCCGTGAAATTCCCTGTGTGGGTAAGCGGGTACGTAGGAATAGGTGAGAATAAGGAGACGACTCGGAAAGGACTGTTTGCAGTCAATTTGTATGTGGAAAGCAATTTGGTCTCCGATGTGTACGTTCCTAAGCACACCTATTTATATACATACGAATTGATGGACAGGGAATAATACATACGGCACACTAACAAACCACGAGATAATGCTCACATATGCACACCATCATTTCCTCGAACAAGCGAGAAACATACAGGTAAACTACAACACTATCAAAATGGAAGCGCGTACATACCGACCGCATAGACACCGGCCGCATTTTTTGCTGCGTAGTTGTGCGACATTTGCACGACTGTGGCAGTCACATTGCCGCCCACAAAAACAGCACCGCCTTTGTCTGCGCTGGTATTGTTGTTCAACTGGCACTGATCTAAAATCTATTAACAATAGTTATTAGAGCGATGTGAGCTCACATAGAGGATTTCAAAATATCTGCACTTGACAAATCAATGCCGGAAGTTGCAATATAAATTTGAATATCAATGCTTTGTATATTGCAACTCTATGTGAACATCATTATAAAAATTAAATTCTACCCAAACCCCAGACCCAAAAAAAAACTTATATTAATTAAACATACCAGACTCCCAAACTCGGATGAATACACTCCGCCTTTCTGGTGTGCAAAATTACTGTTGAGAGTAGAATTCGATATCACTCCCAGGCCAGTTGCATACAAGCAGCCCCCGGTATCGGCCTTATTACCGGTGCATGTAATATTCTGAGCAGTCAGTCCTAATAGATAGTGTGACGAATGGTGCAAGCAAATTAGCACCAGCTTAGAATTGGGTGTTCGAGCCATGACAGTCACGAAATGATATATGATGGTCTGAACCCGGATGTCAGGTCCGACAATTGCTATGCCAGCACCATCATTTGAAAAGCTTGTAGCCCTAGACTCACAACTTTGTGATACTCGACGAGATGTGCATCCACTGAACAGTTGGTGAGGTTTGTTGTGTATGCTACGACTTTTGTTTTTTCAGAGCGACGTTCAAAGCGAACGTGCACTGGAATCATGCTACATACTACAGTTCAGGAACACAGAGCGGAGACGGGCTATACAGAACTGCCACCATTATCGTTACTCGGACCATCATACAGACAACCTTGCATATTTCCAGCACCTCAAGTCACTCAGCCATTTCAAATACACGATAAGTTGGAGAAAATATGCGCGGAGATGCCAATATGAATCATGGCAAATACACATACACGTACACACAACACTGCGCAAGGCAACGACAAATGCATGCACACAACGAACCTAAATGAGCTCCTAAACCCTACACCCACGCAAACTCACATCTGCAAATAAATCCTTATCGTACACTCAGCCAAACACACACATAGATTACAAACGCTACACACCTGTAGAAGAGTATAGCCCCCCTCCTTCAGTTTTATCATCGGCGTTCGATTGGTAATTGTTGCTGATGACCGTATCGGTCACTTTGAAACTGTTGGCTTTACCGCCACACCCAGCCTATACAGCGTATCATGTACAAAAGTCCTGGTCATGAGCTGAAAGGCGAGGAATCTAGCATCAGCATAACTATGTATGCACCGACATTACAATACAACCCAGTGCGTAAGCAAAGTCTCACACATCTGTTTCCGTAGATATGTAGATAGTTGCTACACATGTGCACATCCGACCGCATACCTCTCGCTCGGGTGGTGCCTGCCACACCCGTATATATACTTTTTGAAAAGAACAGATTCATATAATCTACTTTCGAATATTGAACAGATCAATATGAACGCATATACCTTGGTGCATATATTGCCATCAAATGTGCAGCCTATCAGCGTAGTGGTGGCCAGTGCAGAGTTGTATAGACCTCCTCCTTCAGTCGCCGCATTGTTCCGGAAAAGACTGTTGCGAACTACCGCACTTGTTGAGTCCAGATATAATCCAGCGCCCATCTTATCAATGTTCGGTGATACAAATATAAACCCAGTTTTATTCATGATATTTGAAGAGAACAAGAACAAGTGAGCACGCAGATGTGACAAAGTCCGGCGTACTCGGAACCATGAGCTCACAGATTGTGGCAAAACAGAGTGTAGCAAAAAGCAGTTATATTTAGACACCGTTCGAATAGAATGAGCATAACTGAGTGTGACGGCTCTTGCAAATTCTATAGAATATACCACATGCCCGAGTGAATAGACGCCTGTGCCCATCTACAAAAGCACAATATACAATATATATACGTATATATATATATATATATAGATATATATATTAAGATATATATATATATATATATATATATATATGTAAATATATATATATAGATATAGATATAGAGATATATATATAGACATACATATATATATATATGTATATATATAGTATAGACATACATATAGATATATATATTTAAAG